ATTTGCTTCCATCCTTTAGCTAGTAAGTTAGTACTCTGTCCTGTCTCTACTCTTTCCTGTCCAAAGTGTACTTCCCAAAAAAAGAAAGAGGTATTTCTCTTCTAAACTTGCAACATGGCTCTGTGTAGCTTTGTAAGCTGAGTAACCTGGTAAAGTGACGCTCCTGTGTTTGTAGCTTTGTTTAGGCACTCTAAGGAGCTGCGGTGGCTCAAGTGGTTAAGACGCTGAACTGCAGGCTGTGGAAGGTCAGTAGTTCAGCAGTTCGAGACCCGGGTGCCGCAAGACGGGGTGAGCTCCCGTCTCTAGTTCCAGCTCCTGCCAACCTAGCAGTTCGAAAGCAAGAAATTGCAAGTAGATAAATAGGGACCACTTCGGTGGGAAGGTAACAGCGTTCCATGCGCCTTGGTGTTTAGTCATGCCGGCCACATGACCACGGAAACGTCTTCGGACAGCACTGGCTCTTCGGCTTTGAAGCGGAGATGAGCACCGCAACCCTAGAGTTGGATTCAACTGGCTTTCGAGCAAGGGAACCCTTACCTTTATCTTTAGGCACTCTGCTAACTAATGGTGACTGGACTAACCACTTCAGTTAACATCAATACTGTTAAGATCAGAGGATATAGGCACTGGAGCTGTAGGATTTGGTGCAACTAGCTAGCCTGCTCTCTGAGCTTTCAGTGTCCCATTCAGAAGGGCACCTGCCAGGTAAGGAACTGCACCTTGCATGGCCAACCTGGAGTGGGGCCAGCGCTGAGGAAGACAGAGACCACTGACCACTAACATCCCTTTTGTAGCTCCTGGTAATAGAAAACTATGCAATGCATTATCTAAGCTTTGCCTTCTCCTGATTTTAAATCAGTCTCTCTGTCCTGAACATGAGACTTAGCGTAGTGTTGGTGGTTAAGCATACAGAACTAGGAGACTAAGGCTGAAACCTCTGCTCTGCTATGACACTCGCTGGGTGACTTGGGACCAGCCCATCTCCCTCTCCACCCAACCTACATGCCAAGGTTTTAAAGAATAAAACAGAGGAAGGATGAGCCATGTACATTGTACTGAAATCCTTAGAGGAAGGACAGAAACACATATAATTGACTTGGCTTTTGTCCACTGAGGCTTACAGCAATGCAAACAGTTGTATTTGTGCTGCTTTGGAGCAAACCCCTGGCACATAGAGAGCTCCCCTACAAGCTACTAAAATATACCTCATAAACCCGTACCTGCTGGATTAAAGCAAAGTTTCTTAGGAAATAAACTTTGCTAAACCTGAGCTGCCTGATTACATCATTTCTGTGGTTTTGCAAGCAACTGTTTGCTCTTTTGCCAGCAAGCTAAAGCAGGAGATGCTTGGGTTAGATTTGATAAAGGCAGAAACTCCAGACTCACACCTACAATAGCACAGCAGTATGGAGTTCCTTCATTCCTTCTGCTTTTATCATATGCTCAGGAATATTTTTAGAATGACTATTATCAAGCTTTGTTTTCCTGGTTCTACTTTCAAAGACTGGCTGTTCAGCGGGGAAGGAGGGTGGGAACTTATTTGCTATTGGAGACAGGCTCGTTGAATCTATAGGTCTGACTCAGCAAGGCTGTTCTATTATGCTGAAACCGAAGACCTTACAGAAGGGAGGGACTAAATCTTACTCCTAAATTATTGGCTGGAAGAACAGTAACAGAGAAAGAAAGGGTTCAAGTGACAGAGACTGAACTTCCAATAGAATTCGGCCCTGATTCTCCATGTGTACAGAGTGGTGTTCTTGAAGGTTTGTCTTTCTATGGCAAAATCCTCCATTGGAAGTCATAAAATGAAGAACCAGCAGAGACTGTAACTGTTCATATGGACTGTGGTAGTAGCAGCTCTCTGCTGCCTCCAGTGGCTGAAAAATGGAGAGCCAGTTTGGTGTAGCACAGGGATGGCCAAACTGTGGCTCAGGACGGAAGTCACATGCTGCTCTTTCACACATATTGTGTGGCTCCTGGCAGGGCAGCTGGGGAAGCTAAATATCATTAGCAAACAATTAAATATCATTGGACAAATAAATATCATTATCAATAATTGCTTTTACCCCTTTTGTTATTATTTTTGACAGTCTCATTTAATGTTAATAAAAAGCAAATTTGTATATTTCGCAATAAAAACGTGTAATATTTGTTCATGTCTTGCAGCTCTCAAACATCTAACATTTATTCTATGTGGCTCTTATGTTAAGGAAGTTTGGCCACCCCTGGTGTAGTGGTTAGGAGCATGGGAGAACCGGGTTTGATTCCCTACTCCTCCACATGCAGCTGCTGGTGTGACCTTGGGTCAGTCACAACTTCTTTCAGAGCTCTTCTCTCACGAGCAGTTCTCCAAAGAGCTCTCTCGACCCCACCAACTGACAGGGTGTCTGTTGTGGGGAGGGGAAGGGAAAGGAGATTGTAAACTGCTCTGAGACTCCTTCGGGTACTGAAGGGCAGGGTATTAATCCAATCTCTTCTCTTCTTCTTCTTCTGAATTGAGAAGTACACACCAGGTATCATTGTGGTGTCAAACTCTTTCTGACTTTTCCAAATTAAGCACTGTACAATGTAATTTGTAAGGCACAGAGGAAGGAAAAAATTGGTCCATATAGCTATCAGCCACAATGGATACATAGCACCTCTATGCTCAAACGAAGTGTACTTCTAAAAAGGAGTGGGGAAGCAAAAGGGAAGCTTTTAGCTTCCATGCTCTGCTTGGAGACTCACCAGGGCATTTAGTTGTTCAGTGTTGAACAAAATGCTGGACTAGATGGAACCTTTGCCTGACCTAGCAGTTTCTTCCTTCTGTTCTTATACACCAGCATTCAGCTTCTTAATTCCCAGCCCCAGAAACAACACACACATTATTTCCCACAATCTGTTTTGTATAAAAACAAATACTTTTAATGATAGTTTATGAAAAATACATTTTGAAACTGTACATAAAAATATTTCAGTGTCTTCCTACCTTCTCACGCAACAGAAGGGTCTTGTTGCAATTGGTTTTTGTTTAAAAAAAATTAGCCAGCATGAAAATGGTTAGAGGACTGTAGTCCAGATTCACAGATTTGTTAATACCTATAAGTATAAATTAGATACTATATATATGTATATAAAAAGAAGAAAAGATCAAAGGTGTCCATCGAATAGACAAATGTTATAATTGCACAATATGTATTAAATTGCTGAAGGCGTCCTTAGAAGTCAGTTGTTAGGATATTCTGACGAAGGTTATTCGATAATGTTACATACAGGTTGCCTGCACAAGCTGACAGTCATCTCAGCATGAAAAATGTAAGTATTCTGCAAATCACCAAAGCCAGAATCCAGCTTCATCTCTGCAAGACCTTGGATGCAGTTTCAGTAACAATCACAGGGGGGCAGAAGATACACAACATAAAAGGATTTTGCAGGATAGGGACAGACACATTCAACAACAATTGTAGCATAAAGGTCCCAGTGAGATTTTGGTGAGCTAAGAAAAGCACAGAGGCCGAAATGGATTTAATGTAGTTGCTAGTATATTCAGATGTTACTCATAGCAAGTCAACATAATGATGGACCGCCCCATGTGCATTTTTCTAGCATCTCTCTGCAGTTCACAGCATTTGCAAATTATATCTAAAATAGCTTTTAAAATAAAGTCTTAGCAATTTCAATTTTCATTTTAAAAAATCATGAGAACTGGGATCTTAGCAGCAATTGCCATCGAGCCCAGATCAATTTCCTGGGTAAAAAGAGCTAGACTGCTAGGTGAGGCAGTAGAAAATTTTACGTCCAAATTTCTGCACAATGATGTTCTTTGACACAAAATAGACATTCTTTAAGTATGCTTAACATCTGTCCCATAGGATCTGTCCTATGTGGGATCCATCCAGGAGGTGAATTGGAGATTGGAACAACTTGAACAAGACATGCATCGTCAGATGGTCCAAGGGAACAGAATCATGTTGATACGGAACACTCCTTCTGCACTTCAATGTAGCTGTACCAAACAGGAAATGATGTAAGGTAGGAGGAGGCATTCTCAAATCGGTCCTGAAAGGTCGCTACGTGATTTACAGAGAGAAAGAGCACAAAAATAGCAACATTTTACCTGCTGTCTAGCAACCCTTTGGCAGCGTAACTAAATAATAATAATACTTTTTTTCCATTTAGGTAAATTGCCCAGTTACATGCTTCCAAAGGTTGGCTTCCATGCATGATAGAAAGAATCAGGTATTTCAGCATGGGAATGAGGCCCATGTGGTGTCATCATGAGGACTAGCCATATGATTAGGACGCGCACAATCAGCAGCCTTCCAAACCTGGCCCCATTGAAGTGCTGAAAGGTTTGTGATCCAATGAAGATGAACTTTCCTAGCACGTACAATTCAGCTTAACATAACCGAAAACATTCTTTTGTTAAATCCAGATCTGGGATTCAGAAATGAAGAGGGGGGAAACGGGCTATCTAAAAATCACTTTTTTTTACAGCAAAGATTAATTGTCCCTGTCACAATCCACTTTGCAGCACCCCTTAGTGAAAATTCAAGACATTTGCCCATATTTGGTTTTGCGGGATTTCTCCATTCCTATCTGATGCCCTCGCCCTTACAAAGCATTGTGCATCAAACTACACAGATATATCATCAAAGAGACTGAGAGCAGGTAAATAGCACCTAGGGACACAAAGACACAGGTCCCTCGCCCCCCCATTCCAAACTGTTCACATTTCATAACAGAAGTTGGACTGCAAAATCTCTCTTGTTCATGGCTGTGTTTATCTTGTGCCAAGGGCATCTAAACTGAAGAAGAGCTGCAGGCATCCTATATTAGGACGGACATTTATTCTCCCATTTGGATCATTCACTCTGCCAGGCACGGGGAGAGGCCGTGAGCTGACACTGGAGCCCCATCTCTATCTGACAAAATCCTTCTGATCTCCATGCTGAGTCTGGAGATTTCACCAAATATTGATTATAAACTTTGAAGTCATAAGGACTAGAAACTTGCTTTCTTAGTTGGCAGTGTGTCGTCAGGCTCTGCACTTTGTTCCTGCCCTATGGCTATCCAGAGCCACAGTCTTGATCCAGCTGCACGTTTTGGGAACTACTCCCAGCCCTTCCTTCCTAACCGAGACAGCCAATCCCTGCCCCGCTTTTGCACCACCAATAAAAAGGGAAAGAAGGACACCCTAAAGATCTTTCAGTTCAACAGTCTCTGTTTCGAAGGCTGCCAAGAGGCCTAGGATCTGAGTCAAGAAGGAGAGAGCATTTAGGAAAGTAACACGGAAAAGATTTCCCAAAGCTTCTTGCGAGAAGCCCATCTCAGGAATCCTTTTCCAAGTCCCACTTATGGCAATTGCTTGCACACATGCTGCTCTGCAGGACAGGCGCGCAGAGATGCACACAGGAGTTCTGGAGGCAGGCAGGCAGGCAAGCAGGCACTGGCTGAGCGTTTCCCAGGGCCGGTACAGCTGCTTGCTGCGTGGGAGGACTGCACGAGCCGTTGAGTCTTTACACCAAGGATCCCGCTTGACTCTGGGCAGGCACCATGACGGGCACCGCCCCCATGCGGGTGAGGGCGGAGGACGTGAGCCCTGGAGGGAGGGTGGGCTCCGGGCGAGGGGCCTGGGGCTGAGCCCCGTTTGTCCTGGGCTGAGCGTTCCTGTGGACTGGCACGTTGGTGTGGTGGCCGAGGGTCCCGTTGATGTTTGGCGGGAAGTAGAGGGGCAGGGACTGGCTGGAGAGGCTGGCGGTGGGGGTGAGCGTTCCGCCTCGAGGGTTGTTGTAGGGTGGCTTGTAGCCTGCCACGCTGCCCGTGGCAGTGGTGACAGAGGCTGTGTCCGAAGGAGGCTTGGACGGATACAGTTTGTGGTCCTGAGTGGTGTTCATGGAGGACAAGGTGCCGTTTTTGGAGACTATGTCCGAACCAGGACTTTTAGCCCAGGAAAGCGTCTTGGGAGCGACAGCATCCTCCCTGTAGAAGGGGGAGGGGGGACAGTGAAGGAGGAAGCAAAAAGGAAGAAGCAAAAAAACAGTGTTCAGCCATTTTCGTTCTGATTTTTAATGTAGAGATAAATCACAACAGCTATTACAAAGACAAGTGATTACAAAAGCCAAAAGCCATGCTGCTTGCTGGATACCAAAAAAACCCGGTTGCCGGTGTTTAAAGAACAATGATCCTGTCTCCCTTCCATCCCTTAAACATACCAGTTTCGTTAGCCTGAAAGTACCATACCTTTTAAAACCAAGGTTTAATTGTTACTGCATTAGGATTTTACAGATTTTAGTAATTAACAGTTTCTCAGTTATTTCCTTAACCCATTTCCCCTCTGCATTTTCCTAAGGGTGGGGAGGGTGGGGATTCTCTCGGGAATAATCAGAACTAGTTTCATATACCAAAATAGGCTTGACTGAATAACTTCTGGCATTTAATGTCTGGCATTCTGTTTTTAATTTGATGAAATGCAGCAGTGAAAGTCAGCACAGACAGTGATTCTATACATAAACCCGTTGCTTTATTTAATTTTCCCCTCAATGTATGCTGACCAGTTTGACATATTGGATTCGGAGAGCATTTGAGAGATAAAGCTCCCAGGCTCAAGGTTGTAATGCAAGCGTAGCCAGAATTTGACAGTCATAAACCATGCACTAGTTTCGATTAGAGACATGCCAGTTTCCAAGCAGATGACTGCATATGAAACACATTTCGGCATACCCCAAAAAAATTGCAGGAATTTGGATTGGGCTCGTTCAGTAGCACATTCAAAGGCTCCAATCCAAATCGGGATGCCATATAATAATTGTGAGGTCACTTTGGCCTTGAATTTTTTTATGGCAGCTGGCACAAATTGGTTACCTCTGGCATAAAAAAGTGTTATAGCCGATGCACTAATGTTAGCTGATTTCACTGCATACTTTTGGTGGGTAGACAAACTCGCATTATATTGAAAATAAGTACCTAATTATTTAAAATGTTTGACTTGCTCTATCTCTTTTCCAGCAATGACCCAGTTGTAAGATCTCCACTTTTTTGAAAAGACTAAGGACGTGATTAGAGTGATCCTGACATTAACACATATCATCTCACCCTGCCAATAGCATTCTCCCTCAATCTGATTTAGCCACACCAAGACTGCATCTATCCAGGGGTCATTTCGTAGAAAAAGAGCTAGGGGAACTCATTAGCATAACTCATTAGCATATGCCACACCCCCTGACATCAGGGGCCCGGCGGTGGACCTGCAAGGCCGGCAGGAGTGCGAGGAAGCCCTGCCAAGGCCCTCCCTGGCCCCAGGCAGGCAGGGGTGGGGAGAGGCGGGGGGGAAGCAACTTACCCTCCCTCTTCTCCTGCCTCCTCCTGGCTGAATGAGGGCTGGAAGCGGGGCAGCCGGAAGCCCCGCCCCCTGCACCTCACCCGGGGGAACTGTGTTCCCCCGCGTTCCCCCCCGAAATGACCTCTGCATCTATCTATATTAAAAATCAAGAGTAGACAAATAATTTTCAGTAGGACTAAACACAGTATATTTGTAGTCACTCTTTAGTCTAACAGTTGTCAGATTCCCTTCATCACAGATTATAACTGGCTCATTAACTGTCAAATGCAAAAACAAAAAAAAACCCAGCCTTTTCCAAAAAAGACAGTTTTACATTGGTATGTAATTTTCAGCAGATGTGAGGTTTCTTTTCAGAGCCCATTCTTACACAGCCTAGTGGGAATTGCTCATGAGCGGGGTTTTCCCTGGCTCAAATCCTCATATTTATAAGATGTGTATCCTACTCTTGGGCTGTTCCCAGCAACACTGTGATTAACTTCAGTATCCCCCAGCTCCTGAGTCCAGTAGTCCAAACTCATCACCAGTAACCAACATGAGCTAATTTACATATTTTTAAGCACCTATTCTGATGATGCCCACCACAAAATCGTACAATCCAGACAGAAGCGCATTTAAAATTCTGCCTCAGGCAAATGTTCCAGGGGCAGACAGTTCTCCTTATAATACATTTGAGTATCACAAATTGAAGAGATTCCTGTTGTGAGCCTGATATTTTGACCTTCAGTGATAAGGGAAACAGGAACTTGAACAGATATCTTGAGTCCTCCTTGTTTCTGGAAAAATTTCCCTTCATTAGAATCCAGTCCTTCCTGCACCATTTTCCAGGTAGGAACCATCCAGCCCACCTTTTATGATCAGGAAGGGAAAAAAATGACAGATACAATTTGGGTTCCTCTCCCCTGCCCCGTAAGTGTAATAGCAGATGCGGGGTGTGATTTGTCCAAGACATCATAGAAGGAAAGAGTTAACACTTCCAAGCACCAACACTCTGGCCTTGATCCAAAATCACACCCCTCCACAGACACATGCCCTGCTTTCTAAATTACACACTGGGACACTTAATCATTGTGTGGCATCTGCATGGGGGGGGGCGGGATTTCCCTTATACAAAAAAAAAGACATGGCACCCCATTGCTAGCACAGAAAGATAAACTACAGACTTGGCAAACCAGCCAAGTCCAGGAATCTCTGCACCCACTGCAGCGTATCTCTTGACACTGGTTAACAGCAGCTTCATCTTCTCTCGGCAGGTAGCTCCCACCTCTCAAGACTTCCACAGGCCACCGGATTATACTCTGTTATTTTTAATGATGGTGGAAAGATGGTCTGAGCACTCATAATTCTGTTATATGCTTCAAAGCTGAGTCTTGGCTCAAATTAAGCTCTGGAGGTGGTTCACCCTTGCTAAGTTTAAAAAAAATCCCTAGCAACTCACTGAAAATGTCGAGACAGTGTGTGACTGCAATAAAGAAGGCCAATGCTATGCTGGGGATTATTAAGAAGGGTATTGAAAACAGATCAGCCAATATCATAATGCCCCTATATAAATCAATGGTGAGACCTCATTTGGAATACTGTGTGCAGTTCTGGTCACCACACCTCAAAAAGGACATTATAGCTTTGGAAAAAGTGCAGAAAAGGGCAACTCGAATGATAAAAGGGTTGGAACACTTTCCCTATGAGGAAAGGTTAAAGCGCTTAGGGCTCTTTAGCTTGGAGAAAAGACGACTGAGGGGTGACATGATCGAGGTTTATAAGATTATGCATGGGAAAGAGCAGGTAAAGAAAGAGGTACTTTTCTCCCTTTCTCACAATACAAGAACCCGTGGGCACTCCATGAAATTGCTGAGCGGTCGGGTTAGAACGGATAAAAGGAAGTACTTCTTCACCCAAAGAGTGATTAACACATGGAATTCACTGCCACAGGAAGTGGTGGGTGCTACAAGCATGGACGGCTTCAAAAGGGAATTAGATAAGCATATGGAGCAGAGGTCCATCAGTGGCTATTAGCCACAAGGTATAGCTAGGGGCTCTGGGGCAAGTGATGCTCTGTCTTCTTGGTGCTTGGGGGGGGGGTCAACAGTGGGAGGGCTTCTAATGTCCTGGCCCCACTGGTGGACCTCCTGATGGCACCTGGTATTTCTGGCCACTGTGTGACACAGAGTGTTGGACTGGATGGGCCTTTGGCCTGATCCAACATTGGCGTCTCTTATGTTCTTATTTAACTGACTGCAGGAATAGCAAGGAGCAAATTGCTTCCAACCAGAAGTGCTGAGCAATCCCACAGGCCAAAAAGGTTTGGGCACTCTGGTTTAGAAATATAGAGCCATATAGGGTCATTTAGTCCAGCCTCCCACACAATGCAGGCAATTCACAGCTACCTTCCTATCCCCACACTCTCGGCAACCCCTGCTCTATGCCCAGAGTTTAAGCCAGAGAGTCCCTCTTATTGTGCCAGATGTTCATGGTGAACAAGGATTCTCACTTGATCTCATTGGCCATTTCCTCTTGCCCATCTTTCTTCTTCCTTCGGTAGACAAACATCTGGAGAGCAAACAAGATGATCAGGCCCAGTCCAACGAGGGCTCCCACGACGGCACCAGCCACCACAGCCGCATTGAAAGCTGCAAGGGCCAAAAAGCAGAAGAAAAGTTTGGTCTCTTATAAAGAGAGGAAGGTGAATGTTTCCAAGCCCGGAACAAATGATCCGATCTGGTGTCCCAAAGGCTGGGAACGGAACTTAAGTGGTTCGTTCACATGTGCATGCCTACCACTTGAGGAGTCACAACGAAATGTGTAAACTGATTCCACTGCAAAGCAATGTGTGTAACATCGATACTGGGTAATACAAGCGGGGCCTCTCCAAAAAGGAGAGGCTCTATCCAAGGTTCATACATATATACATATCACTGCCTGAAGGTGTATGTATGAAGGAGCCATTAGAATCATAGAGGATTTTCCCTAGTGATGCTCAAAATACCTTTTAACTTGAACCCATGAATGCCTGGTGGATGCTGTTAATGGAACAGAAGAAAGTATCCACTCTGGCCTTCTGCAGGGCTAATAATAGCAGAGCGCAGGGGAAACCAGGGAGGTGACACAGTGGGGCAGATGATTCGATGCGCTCCACCTGACCAAAGTAGAACTGTACTTATTTTCTAATGGTTATTACAGGGAAGAAAGCATCTTCCCCATCTAGGTAGCATTTTTCGCTGGAAACAGAAATGCAAAAACTCTTTTCAGCTTCTCCATGTGAAAATGGTCTCAGACAAGAAGGATCTGACATTCAGCCCTCTACAGCACTTTGAGACCTTTCACCCCACCCCTCACCCTGGTATCAATCTGTATAAGCCAGTCCTAATGAGCAACACACAAAGAGCCGGAGTTCTGCAAACAGGTCTATGTGTCTTGGGCAAGCAAGCCAAGGTGCATGCTCCAAGGAAAAAGGACAGCCTGCTGGGATTCAGTAAAAGGCAGAGCTGCAGGAGGAATCTGTGGGATTTAAGGCTTACATCCAGATGCTGTGTGCATGCACACACATACACATGTGCACACATACACACACAAGTCCACCAGCTTCCTGTAGTCTACCAAGCTTGCTGATGCCAGGCCCTGAAGGATGCTTTACTCCTATACCAAACGTTTGTATTGCCAGATCAAGGTGGAAAGCCACCCTCTACACATACAACTATGATCTGTAATTCCATTTCATTGTATATGAGGAAGTGTGCATGCACATGAAAGCTCATCCTTTGAATAAAACTTTGTTGGTCTTAAAGGTGCCACTGGACTCTACGTCCAGAGAGGTCTGAAGCTTTTCTCAACAGTGGCTGAAGCTCCGTCTTCCCAGCACCAAACCACCCTTTCAGTCAGTTGCTGGCCACTTTCCACCACCACCCCTCCCCACAACCATTATAGCAGTTTCCTGCATCCTTCTTTGGCCAAAGAATCAGTGTGGTGTAGCGGTTAGGGTCTGAGACTAGGATCTGGGAGACCCAGGTTCAAATCCCCCCCCCTCCACCATGAAGCTTGCCGGGTGACCTTCCTTCAAAGAACACAGACTCGCCCCTCCTCCCTTTTGTCTTAAGGGGAAAAAATCAGTGTGCCCTAGTAATGGCAGTGTCAGGGGAGGAAAACTCAGATTCGAAACACAGTTCATCACAAAGCGCACTAGATGACCTCTCTCCTAGCCTGGCCTACCTCACAGGGTTGTTGTGAAGATCAAATGGAAGGAGAATGATGCAACCGCCCTAAAACACTTAAGAGAAAAGGGGTGGGGGATAAAAATGGGCTTGTTTAAAATTCCTTGGCAGCTTTTGAGAGCCAGTTTGGTGTAGTGGTTAGGAGCATGGACTTTAAATCTGGGAGAATCGGGTTTGATTCCCCACTCCTCCACATGCAGCTGCTGGTGTGACCTTGGGTCAGTCATAAGTTATTTCAGAGCTGTTCTCTCAAGGGCAGTTCTCAAGAGAGCTCTCTCAGCCCCACCTACCTCACAGGGTGTCTGTTGTGGAGAGGGGAAGGGAAAGGAGATTGTAAGCCGCTCTGAGACTCCTTTGGGTAGTGAAGGGAAGGGTATAAATCCAACCTCTTCTTCTTTTCCCTGTGTGATAAACAGGCGCCAGGGAACAATGGTCCGGGCAAGAAACACCTGGGGGAAGCAGGACACGGAGGAGGGGAGCAGGACCGTGGGGGGGGGGAGCAACAAGCCAGGGAAGGCTCTGCTTTCCCCTTCTCTTAGATTTGAGTCCCTAGCCCCTTAGACACCAACAAGAGTTTCAGGGTATAATCTTTTGAGAGTCAAAGCTCCTTTCGGCAGACACAGCAGAGTAGAAGTGTAGATCTGAGTCTTTTCATCCTTGTCAGAAGGTGGAAGGAGTGTTGTGAAGGATGCTCATAACGGACGCAAAGGTATTTATACATACTGTAATCGGCTTGATTGCCACAAAGGGCTTTCCCCCCAGTGGGTGACTGAGTGGTGAAGCTGTGGAGCACCAAGCGGGGCACTCACCTGGGTTCACCTCCAGGGTGATGGTGCAGTTGGAGTAGCCGGCCGAGTTGGAGGCGTTGCAGATGTACGTTCCGGACATGTCCGTGGTGAGATTCATCAGCGTCAGAGTCCCCTTCGAGAGGTCTGCAAAAGTTGACGGAAGTACCGTGAAAGCCGCAGCCTCCTGGCCTGCAGCCTTTGCATCAACGGTGCCACGGGGCCTGCCCAGACGACAGCCAAACTGGTGACCAGCAAAGGCTCCCCATGAGCCACCTTGTCTTTCGTGCCCTTGCCTGTGAATGCTAGTTCCATTCGCCTGTCCCCCGACTGACAGAACTGGAGGGTGTATCTAGGCTAACAGGCCCATTTTCCCCAGCTTTCTGCTCCCACCACCTCGCGGTGTTTTCACAGAAGCATTGGTTTGTGACCAAATTAAATTGGAGTCTTAGACTCATTTTGTCAGAGGCATAGCTGTTCTGGATGGACAATACAGTGCACCTGATCAAGTGAGCTTACAAAAGCTTATGCTTGCTAAGTCTTTAAGGTGTAACTGGAGTCCCGGTAATTTCTGTAACTGGACTCCTGTTTAATTTCACGGTTTTGGGGGACCTGGAAACATCCATTTTCATGCCTGTTCATGAAAATTCACCTAAGCCCCACTCAGAAACTGGCTCCTCGAAAGGCAGGTGTGAGTGGTTCTTCCTACCTACTCTAAAGGGAAACCTTTTCAAGTGTAACAGAATGCTGCCAATTTTAATTAAGAATTAATGTGGCTCAGCTATCATGTTTGGGAGCATACTCTAGCAATCTGGTTTTCCTTTCCACTGATTCAAACTTTTTTGTTAATCCATTCCACCCCTCCTAGCTTAGATACAAGAACCCATGAGTGGAACTTGCAGTTATCTCAGGCAGATTCATTTCCTACCTTGCATGGGTGCAAAGAAGACCTGAAAAGTGGGGCCGGTGCGCCTCCAGCGGTACATTGGGCTGGGCTTGCCAGACGATGACTTGCAACTCATGGTAACGTTCCCTCCAACATGGGGACTTCCCTGGATCTTACATATCGGTGAAGATGGGGGGACTGCAAGACAAAGAAGAGGGGGGTGGCTTACTGAAGGAGTTCCAGTTTGAGGGTGAAATGGTGATAAATATTGGCAGCAGTGCCATCTAGTGGGCACAAACACGACTGGAGTTTGTTCCGCAAACCACAGACAAAAGTGGTGATCATGTAAAACTACAGCCTGTCCACCAGCACACTTCCACTGAAATCCTAAGAGTTTCCATTGTTAATACACTGGTCCACATTTTCTGCATTTTTTTTGAACCCTAACATTCACACTTCCTCTCTGAGCAATTAATAGGCTGTCTGTGCACTTGGGGAGTGATTATGGTTTAGTTTTGGAGTAGAATACAAGCAGGTCACATTGGAGGCAGCCAGGGGTGCACCTCTAGTCTCTGCCAGCTTTTGCCTGGGGTGGTGTTGTTGTTTTAAAATTGCAATGCTATGACGCTTCAGCCATACCACAAGCTCCCTTTGGCCCATGTAAGAGCACACTTAAAGGTTCACTTGCCTGGCTGGTATTAGCAGAAGCAGGGTTCAACAGAGCAGAGATACATAAGGGGACAGGGCTCCTGCAGTTTTAATAGTTGGAGTAGGGGCTGATATAGATTGCTGCATAGGTGTGAGGAATAGGTGTAAGAGCATTTTTTTTACAATTAAAGAGCCAAACTAAGTCAATATTCAGAGCAAGAGATTAATAGAACTCAACCCCATTGATTTATTAATCCAAAACATTTCTGCAGCCCAAATACCGGTTGTTGTGGGTCTTTTATTGCAAGTGGCACACACAAGATGTGCGCCACTCACAATGAGAACAAATAAGACCATCCTGCAGGACTGTTTTAGTGCTCTGGCATCAATCTGTGCATGGTTTTGCAGATGACACAAAGTTCTTCAGGGTGGTGAGAACCAGGGAGGATTGTGAGGCAATCCAAAGGGATCTGTCAAGAATGGGCGAATGGGCGTCGACATGGCAAATGGGGTTCAATGTGGCCAAGTGCAAAGAGATGCACATTGGAGCCAAAAGTCCTTACTATAAATACACTTTGATGGGGTTTGAACTGGCAGAGACTGACCAAGAGAGAGATCTTGGAGTCGTAGTAGATAACTCAATGAAAATGTCGAGACAGTGTGTGACTGCAATAAAAAAGGTCAACGCTATGCTGGCGATTATTAGGAAGGGTATTGAAAACAGATCAGCCAGTATCATAATGCCCCGTATAATTCGATGGTGTGACCTCATTTGGAGTACTGTGTACAGTTCTGGTCACCACACCTCAAAAAGGATATTATAGCATTGGAAAAAGTGCAGAAAAGGGCAACTAGAATGATAAAAGTGTTGGAACCAGGCCCGTAGCTACTGCGGGGCCCATGGGGCCTGCCTCCCATGGTTTTTACGGGCCCCTCCCCCTGGGTGGAGTGGGCTTACCCACCACCAGGAGCCCACTCAGGAGGAGCAGCAGGAGCCCCAGGCCACCCCGCCAATCTAGTTGGAGATGGGAAAGTTCCAATGTGGGGTGGAAGCTGCCAGAAAGCCGTGACTACAAGAAAGAAAACCAGGCCCGTAGCTACTGCCGGGCCCACGGAACCCAGACCCCCCATGGTTTTTACGGGCCCCTCCCCCTGGGTGGGGTGGGCTTACCTACCACCAGGAGCCCACAGGAGGAGCAGCAGGAGCCACAGGCCCCCCACCACCAAGTCTCCTGTTCCTGCTGCCTTCACCAAGGCGGGAGAAGTCCAGTGCGGAGGGAGGTCCAGGCAGCTATAGGAGCAATAGCAGGGGCTGGGCAGGGGCACCAGAATCCAACGGAGCCTGGTCTTGGCCCTTCGGAGGGGGGTGGAAGAGGACAGGGCTGAGGCGGCCAATGAGAGAAGGCCCCGGGTGCTGACCCGGCTATTGCTGGGTAGAAGAGCCCCAGAATGCCGCCGGAGCGGCAGAGAGACGGAAAGCACAAAATCAGTCCGACTCCAGTAGCATCTCGTTTCTCATGCTCCCCCCCCCACACTCCGCGTCCCAGCTGGGGGTTCACAATGGCTGCATTCCGCCTCCTCCATTTGGATGGAACCCCCTTGTG